ACCGGGGGGGGGGAATCAGTTCAGTTCAATCAGTTCAGTTCAGTTCAGTTCAGTTCAGTTCAATCAGTTCAGTTCAGCTCAATCAGTTCAGTTCATCCAGTTCATTCAGTTCAGTCCATTAAGTTCAGTTCATTAAGTTCAGTTCAGTTCAATCAGTTCATTAAGTTCAGTTCATTAAGTTCAGTTCAGTTCAATCAGTTCAGTTCAATTCATTAAGTTCGGTTCAGTTCAGTTCAGTTCAATCAGTTGATTAAGTTCAGTTTATTCAGTTCAGTTCAGTTCAGTTCAGCTCAATTAAATTATATTAAATTCAATTCAGGACAGTTCAGTTCAGTTAAATTAAATTCAGTTCATTAAGTTCAGTTCAATCAGTTTAGTTCAATCAGTTAATTAAGTTCAGTTCAGTTCATTCAGTTCAGTTCAGTTCAGTTCAGTTAAATTTAATTCAGTTGATTAAGTTCAGTTCAATCAGTTTAGTTCAGGACAGTTCATTCAGTTTAGTTCAGTTCATCAAGTTCAGTTCAGTTAAGTTCAATTCAGTTCAGTTCAATCAGTTTAGTTCAGTTCATTAAGTTCAGTTCAGTTCAAATCAGTTCAGTTCATTAAGTTAAGTTCAGTTTAGGTCAGTTCATTCAGTTCATTAAGTTCAAGACAGTTCAGGACAGTTCAGTTCATTAAGTTTAGTTCAGTTCAGGACAGGACAGTTCAGTTCATTAAGTTCAGTTCAGTTATATTAAATTAAGTTTGCTTCTGTTCAGTTCAGTTCATTAAGTTCAGTTCAATTATATTAAATTGAGTTCAGTTCGGTTCAGTTAAATTCAGTCCAGTCCAGTCCCAATCCAAGTTCAGTTCAGTTCTCACCCCGTAGTAGAGCACGGTGAACTGGGACATGCAGTGTGGGCAGCAGAACTCCTCCACCTTCCCCCCATAGTGGCTGCTGAGGTTCATTAAGCTCAGTTCAGCTCAGTTCAAATTAGTTCAGTTCAGTTCAGTTCAATCAGTTCATTAAGTTCAGTTCAGTTCAGTTCAAATGAGTTCAGTTCAGTTCAGTTCAATCAGTTCCGTTCAGTTCAGTTAAATTATATTCCAGTTCCAGTTAAATTAAATTAAATTAAATTAAATTAAATTAAATTAAATTAAATTAAGTTAAATTAAATTCAGTTAAATTCAGTTCAGTTAAATTAAATTAAATTCAGTTTAAATTCAATTTTATTTCTATAACTCCAAATCCCAACAACAACAGCAGGAATCTCCCAGCTTTCCAAACAGACAAACAGAGCAGCACTAGGAGACCCAGGGAGGGAACAACTGCCTTTAACAGGCAGAAACCTGGAGTGGAACCATGGCTCTCACCCCGTAGTAGAGCACGGTGAACTGGGACATGCAGTGTGGGCGGCAGAACTCCTCCACCTTCCCCCCATAGTGGCTGCTGAGGTTCATTAAGCTCAGTTCAGCTCAGTTCAAATGAGTTCAGTTCAGTTCAGTTCAATCAGTTCATTAAGTTCGGTTCAGTTCAGTTCAAATGAGTTCCGTTCAGTTCAGTTAAATTATATTCCAGTTCCAGTTAAATTAAATTGAATTAAATTGAATTAAATTGAATTAAATTGAATTAAATTAAATTAAGTTAAATTAAATTCAGTTAAATTCAGTTCAGTTAAATTAAATTAAATTCAGTTAAATTCAATTCAATTTTATTTCTATAGCTCCAAATCCAAACCACAACAGCAGGAATCTCCCACCTTCCCAAACAGAGCAGCACTAGGAAACCCAGGGAGGGAAAAACTGCCTTTAACAGGCAGAAACCTGGAGTGGAACCATGGTTCTCACCCCGTAGTAGAGCACGGTGAACTGGGACATGCAGTGTGGGCGGCAGAACTCCTCCACCTTCCCCCCGTAATGGCTGCTGAGGTTCATTAAGCTCAGTTCAGTTCAGTTCAAATGAGTTCAGTTCAGTTCAGTTCAATCAGTTCATTAAGTTCGGTTCAGTTCAGTTCAAATGAGTTCAGTTCAATCAGTTCCGTTCAGTTCAGTTAAAATATATTGCAGTTCCAGTTCCAGTTAAATTAAATTAAATTAAATTCAGTTAAATTAAATTAAATTAAATTAAATTAAATTAAATTAAATTAAATTAAATTAAATTCAGTTCAATTAAATTAAATTAAATTAAATTCAGTTCAAATTAGTTCAATTCAATTTTATTTCTATAACTCCAAATCCCAACAACAACAGCAGGAATCTCTCAGCTTTCCAAACAGAGCAG